TGTGAAACGTTCTCTTTGAGACGAACATGTGTGATCCATATTTTGTGACTCAATCATGTCCGTTTTACGTCCAACTTAAATTCTACCTAAGTTTCAATTGTTTTGCATGCGTTTTAGCTCTATTTGCAGGTATATGCGTCAGCGCTTGCCCCCTCCTACCATATCTCACAATTCTTGCTTCTTGTCGCTTGTTGCTGGGAATACAGGCCAATGTAGGCCATTGTAATGTGAATTGTAACGTGATCATTCATGCCGTTATGGACGCGAATCGGTGCTTGTGAAAATACACGATCCCAACAGATTCATTGCCATTATCTTCCGCGCGAAGAATGATGTTCTTTCAGTGCTCTTGTTTCCAAACAGTTGGCCAGCTAGCAGAGGATAGGGAGAAATTCCATTTTAAAATGCGGCGATGTGACTGGCTCAGCTCAGTCCCACCTCGCTTGATTCCCTCCAGTAAATCTCTCGTGAATTTTCCACAAAACGCCGCAAGCAAGTGTTTTTAGCGCCCAACAGCAGCGTGCAAGAGTTTAGCTACCACTGGGATCGACACCAACGCTGGCAGTACCAATACATTTTTAGGGTTATGGCGGTAACGACCGACATATCTTTTGTTGCTGGCTTCGAGCAACTAGTTGCAATAATCACACAACATGCAGGGAGCACGTGAGAAACTAGCAAGTGGGCAAAGGCAAGGCCAGCTTAAACACCACTAAGCATTTCATCGTATGCGTATTTGTTTGTATTCATGTCTGTATTAGTTTATTTCGTGCCCTTCCGTTTGAGCAGAATTTTCAGAGACAGCACGATACACAAAAGCTGCGGAAAGTGATAAATGCAAATATGCTGAAAGTGTAAAATCTAAGATATGATACGGGCGCGGTAGGTATTCAGCGGTTGTCAAAACAAGCAATCAAAATCCCTCACAGTCAGGGACTCCGCTAGGTGGCAGCCTCCCAAAATTTACATACCGTTGGAGGCGCCCAGTACGTCGCTTTCATATGGTTACGTGCAGGCTCTGTCATCTGTACAATGAACTGAAGCGTGAAGCTGGTGATGGCTGCAAAAATGTGGTTATCTGATTAGGCATTAATGTGTGAGGAACATTTGTGATAGGCCGTAGAGACCCACATGAAGTGGGGAAAGTGTTACTTTTCGGAAGGAAGCGAAAAATTTATCGGGTTGGATGGAGGGAGGTTGTCGCTGATTAAGAAAGGAAAAGTGAGCGTGAGATTGGGCGCGGTCACGTGACGTAGAATGAAGCACGTAGGGATTGAGAAAAAGGACAGGTAGCCATAGGGGTATGTTCGATGGGCAGAAGAAGCAGGGCACAACGCAAATAATGAAAGTGGGTCACGCTTGAAAGATTACAGCGGATTGGACGGCTGTGGCTGACACGAAGGCGGGCCAACATTTCCTCTTTGTATCGGCTCTAACGGGTACTGCTCGACCATCTGTTTTTGAAAGATTTGATGCTGTAGGCATGCTGACCGTTCGGATCCAGGTCTGAGTCCGTTGGGAAAGGAATTGCCTACGCCACCTTTCTACTTGTTTCATGATGAGACAATGACGACCATATCAAATGATAACTATGACGTAATCCGAGGAAAGAGGCAGCCTTCCTTCGCCAGCCCATTGACCTTGGTGTGACCTCCTGCGGTCGAGAGGCCAGAGATTCATGGAAATAAAACTTGCAGGCTGAATGCAGGCTGAACTTAACGAATAAAATGTGGCACGTGCAAGACGATATTACGGAACACCGATGCCAGATTTGGGATAAAAAGGCGAAAGGATTTTGAGTCCGAACATGGGCTTCGATGCGACAGAGATTTACAGGTTGCGAAGAGTTCAGCAAAACAAGTTCAAGTACTCGTGGATGGAGGGAAGCAGGATGAGTTCTGGGACTGCCCAACAGTGGGCCGTTTCAACAGTGGGCACAGCTTCCTCTGATTTAGATACGTCGATGAAAAAGAAAAGCGGCGAAGAGTGTGCCACACACAGCCCTTGTCGTTGCAAATGGATGTTTGTTGTCATCAGGGTTGATTTGCATTCTAAAAAGGGAAATCTACCGACAGTAGTGACGTTGCACGGAACGGAGGGATGAGCTCCTACGCAGAATCAGGACAGGTCAGTGTTATAAATCTGACATCGCCGATGGACGTGCGTTCTGACCGACGGCGTGGAGCGGTGAATGCCTGTGCGCAGGTCGGTTGGACCCACCAGCGGTGGCTAGGGACGGACAGAGTTCGAAAGTGATGAGAGTCAGGAGTGGGAGCGGGGTCGGGGTCTGAAGCTTTTTGGACGCGACTTAATTTATAGCTGGTTACCTCGCCCCAGACCGGCGAGCTGTAGGTGACCTGTGAGAAGACATGGACCTGCATGACCACGGTGAGGGCCTTTTTATTATAATTGCATCGAAACCTCTTTAATGAAAAGGGAACGCTGTGGCGCGGGGTACCGGTGACGACACTTCCAACAGGGTGGCAGACAGGCGACGCCACATGGCCACAGCAGCTGAGTGAGCTGTGAAATCCCAAACGGCATATGACACACGTAACGGAGGTCCACGACTCTCACAAGACGTGCCGATCCCAGGCCAGCGGCCGGTCCCCAGCACTCGGGCCGCATCTGAAGGTCTGAATGCAGTCCCACGACTCTCACAAGACGTGCCGATCCCAGGCCAGCGTCGGTCCAGGCACTTCTCGCATCTGAAGGTCTGAATGCAGGCCCACGACTCTCACAAGACGTGCCGATCCCAGGCCAGCGGCCGGTCCCCAGCATTCAGGCCGCATACGAAGACTGAAATGGGCTGCCAGAGGGCTTTGATTGAAAAGCTAAACGCCTTTTAAAAATGTCTGTTGTTGAGTGGAAGGAACTTGGTTGCATCTGCGCACAATTTCCGAGTGTAGCCTTTCACCAGTTGTGTACATATGCCACTGACTTGTCCAGGCGAATTTTGAGCGGTAAAAATTGACGCTGTCAGGCAACATGCTGTCGAGAAACTGTGTGTCATCCGCATAGCTACAGCTGACGACCGTGGGGAAACGCTCGAGAGTTCACTGACGAAGATGCTGAAGGACACCAAAATTCGCAGGGAAAATCTCTTAACCACCCGCACATCCGCATCCATCCACCTTAACATCCGCAGTGCAGCTGAGGAAGCTATGGGACGGGTGCCATGGTACGCTATGCCATTCCAGTTTTGCAGTAGCACCCCGTTATGAACGCTGTCAAAGGCCGTTCATAGATCGATGCTCAACAATGTGTCAAGGTGGGTCGAAGCGATTGTCTTACCCGACTGTTTGTGCAGTCATGTGCAAAGACCCGGAAGCCGGCTCGATAAACACGCGTTAAGCTTCCACAATTGTGAAGTGAAATAATTTCAACAATACTGAATATAACGGGTCGCACTCGACCGGCCGCCATGAACTAAGTCCGCGCTCCAGCATTAGACTCTGGGCAGTGCAATACCAGAGCAAGCCAGCACCCGCGTTTAGCACGAGCTGGAAGTTCTAATAACCATTTTTGATTATCATCAGCGTGAATAAGCCTCTGATGGCACAGCATATGTGCTTTACCTGTGCCATTATGAAAGTGTGTAGGTTAGTCCTGCGTCTTTCCCTGCTCGCGATGACCGGCAATTATGAAGCAAGTTGTCGCCACACACAATGTTTTTTCTACAGAGCGATTGGAAAAGGACGAGTACAAAACAAATCTGAGGCGATAAAGTAAAAGCTGGTTATGCAGTCTGTTAGCCCATGGCTAACAGACTGCATACAGACTGCAACAGACAGACATGGCAGGCTATGCGAGAAAGGCTGCTATGTAGACGACGCATTGGCCACACACGCGCGACTCGGGGCTACCCACCGTCTGGTGGAGGCATGTCCCTGATCTCCCGTGTCCTACCCTCCTTACCGTGTATCCAGTACTCCACTACTGTCTACAGTTTTTCGTTATTATTGGGCTGTCTCGTCACTTTGGACGAAATTTATCATGCTCCGTCGCTGGTGCTATGCGAAATGCTCATTGACAAGTCGCGCTTGCTCAACAAGGTCTGACTGCTTTCTTTTTTCAACGATTTCGTTGGTTGTAAAAAAACTAATGACCGATAGCCCCTAAACCCTTTAAAGACTATTTTTATAAGCCAAAATTGCTATTGGCGCAACACGACCTTAGAACACCCATAAGCCAAGACGACCCAGTAAATCACCAAAAACATATTCACGTATAACATGCGTGGTGGGTTAGCGCCATGCGTGGTACACCAAGCCAGTGCAACATTCCTTCTTATCACGCCGGTCAGTGCGGTGTCAGGGCATGACCTTGACCCGCTCCCGGAGGCCACGTGGAGTCCACGGTCCAGTGCGCCAGAAATGTCGCCGGCACGCACCAAAACGATGACAGCGATGTGACGCGCGCCCCGCGCCGGTCGGGCCCCAGACACACGTGTGCTGTGTTGGCTGAAGAACTGCAAGTCACCGAAAAAAATCATGCTAACGGGAGCACGGATGATTCAATGCTCAGTGGCATCGGCAGTGTATGGATATTTTGCTGTGTTTCACGTGCATTGTATAATCAGCATCCAAACCTGATTGACGCTTAGACTGGTCCTGCTCTCATTTCACATGCCATATGGTGACCTATTTTCCGCATGGCTTTGCAAAGACCGACAAGCATATTCCTTTTTCTCTCAACAGATATTCACCGCTTCTATTTCGTTCACGTCAATGAAACGATGTACATAAATGAGGATAATTGTTTTTAATGATGAATACACTGCAATATAAGCGATAGAAATGTTGTCTAGCATTTGGAATTGTCTTGAGCTGAAACGCCTCTGATATATATATATATATATATATATATATATATATATATATATGTATGTATGTATGTATCATCTATACCATCTATACATGTATATATATATATATATATATATATATATATATATATATAAATACATGAAATAATAGAGATCAGAATGCAAGATATTGACGGCGTTACCACAATTCAAGGCGATTTCTTTTCGTGATGTTCATGATTGCATTTACTCGTCACTTTCACAAAGCCATGTTTCCAGATACCCTGGATAATTATTCTGCTCACCATTGATCGACTGGGACGGTCTTATGATGACATGGCTCTATCATGACCGGGTGTTTTATGCAGAGTTTACAAGAACCGCGTACGTTTTTCATGACATGAAGCTTAATCGAATCCGTGGAAGAGGGTCCGGTTAGCTATGTTCTCGCGACACATGACATGCTGTTCTCTTTCCTGGCTTCAGCTCGTCGTGAGCTTTTTGGAAAACGTATTAGCAAACCAGTTCGGTGCAAACCGCCTTTTGGACCGCGCGATGCTGACAGCAGGATCTTAATTGCCACGCAAGAACGAAATACGAAGTTAACCACCGGTGATTTATGCAGCAGATTGAGGGGTAACACCAAACAATTGCAAACCGCCAATCTACAGATGTTGACTGAAGCAGACAGAACATGACCGATTTCGCAGGAGGCTTGCAAGCGTCTACTCTACGCTCTAAAGGACGATGCCACGTAACTTTGCACCTCACGCAGCTCCTGTCAAAGCACCCTCACGTGGCCACCTCCGGGTCTCCCGCACTCGGGCGCGGCTTGCCCGCGTCCGATCCCAGCACTGACGGGTAGTAGCAGCCATACGCAGCGATGGCGCTGACGACGCCGATGCCGTACCCGACGGCGACGTCCTCCCAGTGGTGGTGATGGTCCCAGACGCGGCTGACGGCCACCAGCGCGGCGGCCGCCGGCGGCGCGGCCAGCACGGGCCGCCAGCGGCGGCGGGACTCGTCGCGGAAGAGGCGCGCCTTGCCCGACCAGTAGAGGCAGACGAAGGCGGCCAGGCAGCTGCAGAAGGAGGCGTGCCCGCTGGGGAAGCTCAGGCGCCCCTCTGCCACGTGGCGGGCGTCGCCGGAGCAGCCGGTGCCGAACCACGGCCGGCCGGCCGGGTGGCAGCGCGCCAGGAAGTCGGGCCGCAGCCGGCCCACCTTGCTCTTCAGCGTGTTCACAGCCAGCCCGTTGGCGAGGAGACCCAGGGAGAAGGCTAGCGCCGCCTGACGCAGGTCCTGCCAGTCGCCCGTGAGGAGGAGGCCAGGCGTCAAAGTGGCTGGCGGCACGCTGTAGATGATGTTCCAGAGGGCGGTGGTGGAGACGTAACTCTTGGTGACCGGGTAGCTGTGACGCCACGCCTGGCTCTCGGTCATCTCACGCACGGCTGGCTCGAGGCGCTCCGTAGCCAAGAACACCAGGTAAAGGACGATGCGGATGGCCAGCTGAATGATGAAATACCGATACCTTAATTCCGGAGGTATGATGCTCAAGAGGTTCATGTTTAGCTCGTAATTAGGCCTTTAATGCTAACAAAAATATGTGCATTGCGATAAATAAGGCCATGGTTGCATTGCAATTGTATATAGAGTTACACGAAGTGGTAACGGCAAAAAAAAAACACGAAGGTCATCTAGCATGAGGGTGTGGGACACATTTCCACAAATTAGTGTCGCAAAAACCTTTGTTCTTGTATAATCTGGGTAATCTTTAAAAAATTAAATAAAAATATGCGTTAAGCTGGATTTTTTCCTGTACGTTGTTATAGTTCTATAGAAATATGCTTTATTCATCATAAACAACATTTAAGACAAATCTTCGTCAAAATTTGACGTTGCTAAGCGTCCGGGAGAGTGCCGGGTTGCACAAGATTCAAACGTTAAGTAATAGATAACGCATGATTTGGATCGGTTTGAGCGCGGCCGGTGCCGAATCGCGTTATAGCCTAGAGAAAGCACTTTCCGTATTGGCCGCATCCATGCCGAAAAGCGCCAGTATCGAAAAAGCTCTGGGTGAATTGGATACTGCTCGTGATTATCTGCGATGGGTCTAGCGAACAGCAGTGCCAACGAACAGCGCCGTACATGTTTGCTTCTTAACGGGTGCAGAAACACAGCAAACCACTCATTCTTGTACCGCCGCCACGATCTTATCTAGGGTAAGCCAGGAACTATTCACATTTGGGTGCGTGCTAAGCCGGAGCTCGGTTTCTGGTGGACAAGATGTTTTGACGGAGTCGTGTGAGAACGACTTCAGCATCACAAGCGATATAGCCAAACTTTAATTATTATTTTTCTGGTGGGAGTCTCTGGCACGCCAATGAAGCGGTATGACTTACCACAGCACCTTTTTTTGCTCCGAACTTTCCCATTTGGTACCAGTAGGTACGAAAGACACACCCGTCCTCGTCACTGCGATTACACGAACTTCAGGGACACAAGGTACAAGGCACCATGCTTAAATCAGGCCGGTACGATTCTTAGTTTTCGATGCCGTCATTAATTTATGCACAACTTTTGCATTTAAGCGCTCTCAACCTCATTTAAACAGCAAGCATGTGCCATTTTGTACAGCGCTTGCCGAAGTAGATGCCTGATTCGCTTTAGGTGATCTTAACGCCATCTAGTGTAAAGACGGACGTTCACATATAGGTGTCGCTGGCATCGACAAACGTTCGTCGCGAACGGTTTTGCTTTTTGCACACAAAATTTTGCTGCGATGGGAGACGGTGCAGTTATCATAATTTTGCCAAATGTTTTCATTAGTATTTCATCTATTTAATGGCAACGCGTTCTTTTATTCCACTGTACCCTCTCCGTGGTTTACTGCTCCACTGCTACCAAGATGGTACCTTATCTATACAGCACCTGCTCCTCCCATATTTAAAATACAGGCACGTATAAAAAACGCATGCAATGGATGGTCGTTTTAGAATGATGTACTCCATATGTGCCATAAAACTAACACTGATTTGATCAATCGAGGCAGCAAGCGAGGCTTTAGAGACCCAGCCGGTTGGAGGCAGAGTAAGCGAACATACATTTCACCCTTTAGGAGCCCTTCGAGAGCCGTGGTAGGTCTTATGTACATAGTCAGCAGCGCCGATATAGTTAAGTCATGCGCAAAAATGTCCTGTCCCAAAAGTCGAGAGAGACTCCAGGTGTGAAATGAGCGGGTATGGCCGGGAGTAATGATGCAAAGGGATGTCCTTATTGTGAATGAGAGGAGGCTTCAGCCATGTGAGGATGTTAAAGTAGTGGAAAAGGCCCATCCCCTGACCTAGGCCAGGCCCTAGTCCGGCAAGGAGGGTGGCTTATCAAACTGGCCTCCCCGTTGATTTCCAAGCTGAGATCCTGTCGTGAATAATACCAGGCTCCAATCGTAGAACGAGTAGGGATATTGCGTGATAGAGGGCCAAGAAATGACAGGAGGCCACTGCTATTGCCAAGGTATAGCCCATGCACTGTATATACTTTGGATGGTTGTATAGTGCCCTTGGTACGGCAGAGGGCTCTCTCCGCTCCATTGTTTCCACTGCCCCTCTCTTTTAGTGATATAATCATGATGCGGCGCGATGGGAGGACCCCATCGGACTGGGAGGAGCTTGCCTTAGTAAAGAGAGGCCACTGTCGTGACTGGAAGGAGGCCCTCCAGAGAGAGTTAGGCAGCATAGTACTCAGAAATGTAGGCGTGTTGGATGGTTGTGTCGACTAATGTCAATGCTGGTATTATGCAGAATCCTAGAATCTGACACGTACCTGATTATGTTTTCACAATGAGTGACAAAAAAACAGTGTCAACGTTTCTTAAGGGAAGCGACGGACGTATACGTCAGAAGGCTTGTGGCTTCGCCGTTGTCGTCGTTTCTAGGAAATACGAACATTCAAAAATTGCTTCGCAAAGCAATTACAGGCAACATAAAGACCATTCAAGACATATAAGCCTGTGGGACTCCACCATGAGCGCTTGCCTGTTCACTCTCCAAGAAGTTAGTGCTGTCGCCGTTGCGCTCAGAACGGCAAACAGTGGCCTGCGATTCAGAGTCACATCGTCATGACATGTTATGCCTGATAGCTGGTTAGGTATAAGGTCAGGAACCTTATTCCTGCCGACAACAAAATGCACGCACTTTCATGGACTCCCCTTTCGTCCATTAACACGCGCCCGGGTAGCCGGCTAGATACCCTTCGCTCGGGTGGGAGGGGGTCAATTGACCCCCTGAGATCTCGGGAACCAAGAAAGCTAGAGATGCCAAATTTACGGACTGTCTTGACCTGCACCGAAAATCACTTTGGTCAAAGTTTGAGTTTCCTAGGTCATGACCTTCAGGCCAAATAAGGTCAAACAAGGTCAAATTCCAGATTGGTCTCTTAAGTGCCCCCAGAACCTAGGCGACTGTTTCTAAGCAAAAATTCACGGGCCTATTTGAGGTCAGTGACCTTTTTTGACCTTTTGAAGGTCATGGTGACCAAAATCATGCGAGACTGCTCTGAGTTTTGCATTTGAATAAGCGACAAAGATTAAGCTAGGCAGTATGTTCCTAAAACAAAATGTCCACCCGGGTCATCTTAGGCCAGTGACCTGTTCTGGCCGCTAAGAAGTCAACGGAAGATGTATAACGCGGTTCCTGCCATCAGTAAATTTGAAATGAGCACCACAAACTATCCCATACAGCAAGCCCTAGAGTAATAAATCAGGTTGATTTTGACCTTGGTCTGACCCTCATGCCTGACCTTAGGTCAACGTAATTTGCTCATTCATTATTTTTGGTGGCTTAGAAAGCATCTCAGAGATGTATGGCTTCGTCAAACACCCCGTTATTATATCAAATTGGACGATTCCCTAGAAATTGCCCTCGCTGAAATCATGGCCTGAATTTGACCTGCCATAGGTCTGCGACCTTACAAGGTATATCTAAATTTTTGTGTCAAATGATCCGCTATTCAATTGTCTACAGCTATGCAAAATTTGGCGCGGCTGAGCCGCGCCGTTCGGAAACCATTCTGGAAAAACCTTCGTGGAGGGGTCAATTTAATCCCCCACCCGAGAGCGTATTCAGTAACGTTTCCTTCCACTCCACCAAACACCTGTTTTAAGGATAGCAGCAGAATAACGTGAAGAGGGAAGCAAATACAGTACCTTTATGGTCCGAAAACACCTATTATGTCGTTGGCTGTTAGTATGAGTTACGCACGCCGTTTAGCCTTATTCTACCTTATAAAAACGTTTTGAACTGGATAAACTCTCGTGAGGAAGGTGAAGAGTATGTCGAGTAAGATAGTGGCCTCGATGGTGGTCGCTGAGCAAGAGAGGGAGAGTGTGCTGGAGATCGTGCGCTGCCGCTTAACGTAGAAGGCTATCACGCTGGGCTTTAAAGGAAGGGCAGGTGCGATGGGAGCATGTTCGATTGACGAAGGAGCTGGCCTGAAGAACAAACTGGACGTGGGTCATGTCATGTCTCACCCAACAGACCAAACCTGTGCGATACGTACATTTTTGCATTTAGCAACGTTGAGTACACGTGTGATGTTATTTGAACGACGATGTAGCGGGCATTAATACGCGCCCGGATAGCCAGTTGAATGTGCTGCACGCGGGTAAGGAGGAAGATTTGGCCCCCTGAGACCCGGAACTATGAGAGCTAGAACAAAGCTCACAGTGTAGGTAGGGCTATATATCTGCTCTTTACCATAAATTCTTAGGTCTCTAGATCGTGGTCTTCTGGTCAAATATGATCCAACAAAGTCAAGCTTGTGATCGGTGTTTGAAGTGCCCTCAGACATCTTCACACCACCACCTTTAAACTAGATATATGTTTCAACCAAAACGTGAAACATTTTCATATTAAGTCAATGAACTTATCCGATCTTCAAAAGGTCAACATGGCCATAAGTCGTCGAGCCTTTTCCATATTTGAACTTACCTTCAGTGCCAAGGACTACCCTGGGAGGCAGATTCCTCAAAACAAGAGATTGATTGAGCTCATGCTAGGTTAGTGACGTTGCCTGAGAGAAATGTGGTCAGAAAGAGAGATCTGTTGACTTCTTTCTGCTTAACACTTCCCACATAAGCACCCCAGACAGCCTCATGAAACAAGCTTTAAAGCAAACGTGGTTTCATTTTGACCTTGATCTGACATAATACTTGGATGGATACTTAAGGTGGATGGAATCGCATCAGCCTGAAAGGCTCCCAAGGAATTGCCTTCGTTGGCAGCCTTTGCTTGGCTGACTTGCTGCAAGTCAATGACCTTAGGATATATATATATATATATATATATATATATATATATATATATATCAAGAGATCAGCTATTGAATTGCCTACAGCTATACTTACTTTGGCCGTGGCATTCGGAAGTGACACCAAAAAGCCTCAGGGGGGGGGGGGGGGAAATTGCGCCCGAGATCAGCGAGAGTTAATCACAGAGAGAGCAGCTTCGAATGACAAAGAGCGTAGGGTACGGAGACGCTTCTTTGTCATATATTATACAAAGCAGATAATCCGTGCGTGATATCACTGGTGGACCGTTGCAGATATCTGGAGAAGCGAACGATAGTTATAAACCAAAGACGTAAATATTAATTGTTGTATTGTACGCGAATAATGAAAAGCCCTAGGTTGTTCTTCAGACGAAGTTGATTAAAAACCGTTATGTTCTCTCTCAGACCCTTGGCAAACTTTCACCTCTGAATACTGACGTCACCAACGGTGGCAAGAGTCGCATGTCATCGCGAGGTGACAACAGCTACGAAACGCATTTAAAGTCATGGTATAAATGATGCACAAAAGCTAAGCCAATGCGGTCAGACAGCCCGGCAAACCACTCCACCGGCCTTAATCAATACGCTGGCAATACAACGTGTCGTGGCTTAACCAATACGGATTTAACTAATGCTGTCCCGACCAATACTGCCCGTGGAAGAGTTTAACATCCGGTGGTCCGAAAT